GGATAACTATTTTTTAAGGCAGACTGGAAATTTTCTGGCACTAAAATTGGGATTCTAAAATTTACATTATGTGTGTATTGTTTAAAAGTAGGGCCCGAAAAATCATATCTAGTATTTTTGTTGCCTTCAAAAGTAATTACCCATTTATTATATCAAAATAGTTATTCTCCAGAAAAAAGGCTAAAAGGTCTTATTCTTTACCTTGCCCTTGGATCCATAAATAGAAAATGTGTTATTTGAGAATTGTGATCCTGATAAAGATGATTTGATTAACATTTAGAATCCTAGTGATGATGCTATCTAGGATCAAGTATCTGCTTGATCCTAGAACTCTATTTGAAATATTATCTATAATAGATATTGTACTGTAAATAGTTTGTGTAGCCTATAGTATTTATTGTTAATCATATTTATTTGATAGTTGAACTAGTGTATCTATAATATATGCTTTTCTTTTTTTTATAATTTATATTAACTTATGTTTTTTCATAATTATATTAAATCATATATTACAGAAAAATATGTTGTTTACTTTTGTGTAGTGTTGTATTTTAATCAGATATATATTGTTGTTTACTTTAATTGAACATGTGTTATTGTTTATTTTTAATTTCAGTTGATTAGCATTGTTTATTAAAACAGTTTAATTAAAACACATGAAATTGAGAAGTTAATCACATTCTGATCAGATTATTTATCTACTACATAAATATATTATTGTTGTGGTGGTGTTTTAAAGCTCTTTACTGTTTAGTAAAAAAGACTTTGAATATTCTCCTTGATGTTATGAATCTTGAATTTAAACTGATTTATTGATTTGACCTATTGTTTACAAGACTTCTCTTAATATCAAGAAAGATATTAACCTGTACTAGTCTAACTAAGAACTTAGGGAGTTGAGATTGAATCTTAAAGAGCTTACTGTGAATCAGTTTTCTTAAATTTTTTTTTTCTCTATAAAAAAAGAAAATCTATAAAGTATAACTAAAATATGTTTGTACTTTTTTACTTCTTATTGCTGAAAGATTAAATACACTAAGAACTGGTTCTGTATAGTTATTTCATGTTGTTTTATAGATTTTGTTAAAAGTTTCTCTTTGTGTTATGGCTGACTTCTTTTGTTTTTCAAGAAAATTATCAAAAAAGAAAATTTTTTAGGAAAACTGAGGATTGGCAGAAAGAGTTTTTTTTTTATTTATACTATAGTTTTATTTTTTTTTTTTTTAATCCACAGTTAGATTAGTCATATATACTTTATTAAACATAATGTAGGCTATACTATTTATCATATCGCTAAAGCTAAAACACCAACTAACTTACTTATCTTAGTTTATTATCAAACTAAGTGCAACTTTGGAAGTAATTTGTCACTCTATTTATAGTTTGAATGAATACTCTTCTACTATGAATATTATTGTCTGCAGTTCATTATTGCAGATCAATAATCAAAGTTTTAACTGAGTCTAAAACCCAACCATTTCGTATCACTTTTAACTCCTATCATTATTATCCTTGTTAAATCTTTTTCTAAACATTCTTCTTTTATTTTCTTTATTTCTCCTTTTGACCTTCTTGTTTTTCTTGTTGAATAAGACTTTGTGGACCTTCTTATTTTATCTTTTCAAAAAATTCATTGAGTTTTTTTCCATTCTATTACTTGTTTATATCATTTGTTTCACACTTCTTTCTTGAAGTAATTCAAAAAAATTTTTTGACAATGGAGTATCCATTTTCTGACTACTGTTTCTATCTTTTTCCTTTTATATTTGAGTTCTTTTACTTCTCTTAATAGATCTCTTTTGATCAGTCTTAAAAGAAAACAGATTGAGTCTTGACTATTTTTTAATACTCTTCTTATAAGCTTTATTAACTATGCTTCTATTTCTTTCATTTCTTTTCTATCTACTATTAGAATGTTATTGTATTTTTTTTGAGCTTGGTCTTTTACTTTTTTTTTTTTTTTTTTTTTAATCTGCCATCAGGCTGGCATGGCTTATTTTTATTGTGTATTTAAAATATTATACAATTTCAAAGATTTTCACATGACAGCTCATTTATCTTAGAAGTTTAACTTCTCTAGATGCAACTTAGGAGATGATATTTTGCTCTCTTAATAACTTGAATTATCCTTTAGCTATCAAGTTCATTGCTTACAAGTCATTACTGTAAAATATTAAGCTAATAATGATATACTATATCAAATTTTATAATTTATAGATTTAAAGAATAAACTTTATATTTCATGAAATTAAAATTTCTAAAAAAAGATTTTTTAATTTAATTGAATTCTATTTATTTAAAATATATTAAAATTATGTTTTTATTTATGTTATTTTTATATTAATTTGGATATTTATAAAATTTGATAAAAAATAAAAAAGTATAAAAAAAAATATATATATATATATAAAATATGAATCAAAAATTATCATAACAAGATCTATATAAATAAAATTAATAAAACTTAAATAAGAATATGATATCAAAATATAAAACTAAAAAGAAAATCAATTTTTTTGAAACCTTTATTTTCTTAATTACTCTCCACCAATATAAATTAAAGTTGAAATAATCAATATAATCCCTTTTAAATAGCAAAAATTAATATTATCTTATTAGAAGAATGGTATATATATAGCAAAAAAATTTAGATGGTAACCAAAATACCTTTTATAACTATTTATAATAATCTTTGAAAGCTAAGAAAAACTAGTAAAGTAACAAAATCAAAAAATTTTAGTTATCTATAAGTGATTTCAAATCAACTTTCACAAAAAATTAGACATTATATAAAAAAAGATCTTTTGTTTCTATTCAGACTTTGGTAATAAAATCAGGTGAAGTGATCTCTTTATCAACTATTTTGAGACTTTTAAAATCTCTTGATTATAAAAACTTATCTAAAAAAATATCAATACTCATTTTTTAGTAAAAGAAAAAAATATTAAAATAAGTAAAAAAAATACAAAAATGACTGTTGAATAAATACATTTTTTTCATATGAAACCATTTTTCAACTTTTCTGAAATATAATTGATTAGTGACACAAAGAATCCATGATTAATTCATTAAATATCTAAAAATAGAAGAAAAATCTTTGCATAGAATAGATTCTGTAAGAAGAGTAAAACTAATTTTTACTGTGTTGGTGGAATAATAACATCTTAGAAGAAAATATAGTCAATATCAAGGCTATGCTGAAAAGAAAGTTTCAGTTCTAGCATGATAATGATCCAAAATATACAAGTTATCTTGTAAAATTGTATCTTAATAAAAATATACCTAAAGTTTATTCAAAAATCCAAACTTGAATCCTATGAAATCAAGTAAAAACAAATGTCAAAAAAAGAATGCCACAAAATTTCAAATGACACCTTAAATAACTTGAAAAATTACTGTAGGAAGGTTAATATAAAAAAAGGTGACCATATAGACTATTGAAACTTTTATATAATAAACTATTTGTTCTTACCTTTAAAATGAGGGCTGACTCATCTTAATTGGTCCAATGGTTGTCAAGTTTGTTAATAATAAACTTTTTTTCCAATAATTTTGACTCATACTGTATATTTACTGCATACTGTAAATGCTGGTTTATAAATAATTGGATAACTCTAATACTTCTTTCGAGATCTTGAGATCTTTATAAAAAAAAAAAAAAATAGAAATTTTTTTTTATTTGATTCTTTTAGTTGATTCAACTTTCTTGCCATAAGTAATTGAATTTGAATTTTCAAAAAGAAACAATAAAGCATAGAAGGTAAAAATAAATAACTAAAGAAGCATAAATAGCGGCTGATTAAAATCACGTGACACCAACATTTTCCTTAAATCTGTGCGCAGATTTTAACGTTAAATATATGCTCAGATGTCTGGAAGAACAGAGTCTAAAAAAAGTTACCAATACACAGATTCTGCTACTAGGAGCCCCTTACTTACTCCCACTAATCATCAAAGATATAAGGACCTTTTGATATTTGAAGAAAGGCTAAAACAGAACTTAAATCAACTGCGAAAACGGAGTCACAAATATGAAGGTTGATAATATAACACTCACTTCATTATTTGCCCTCATTAATAGTTTTCTTTTTTTTTTGGTTTCAAGCGTTTTTAGGTTTAATCTGTGTGTCTCTCCCATTTTTATTATATGCTGTATTTATACATAAAAATGAGGTATGTTACCTTTTTGGAAGAGGCTTTTTTGTTATTCTTGAATTAACAAACGCGCATTCATATCTTTAGAATCCAACCTTTCAATTCTTTAGTAGACTATTGCTTTTCATAGTAGTTATTACATTGGCTATGTTTTTTATGAAGAACATCTACTCGGAGAAAGTCAGGGTGGCCTCAAAGTAATTTTCCATATTGAAGTTTTCGTTCATTCGATACTTCACACTTGATTGATGTTAATATCGCTGTAAACAGATTTGTCCCACAATGCAATCGCGTTTTACGGCAATTTAACATGCACTTCAATGTCAAAGGAGGTGAGATAGTTTTTCATAAAAAGGTTCCAAAAAATTTTCAGGAAGGATTTGAAAAATATCGTAGAATGTATTATAAAAAGAAAAGTCAGAAGGCGAAAGAAAAAGAGGCGTGAAAAGTCTGGACATTGAAGGTGATGTGGTATATTCCGATGTACTTTTGATTGTTTTTTTTTTTTATGAAAAAAGTTTAATAAATAAACAAGATGTTGTATGAAAGGATGTTTTCATTTAGAAGGAGAAGGGACAAAAATTTTCCATTTGGTCATTCAAATAATAATTATTTTTTTTTTTTTACCACATCCTCCTTCGATTTACATTTTGAAAGTATGGAATTGAATAATAATACAAATAATATTGAACACTTAATGATAGCAAAATGTAAAACCATCATTCATTAAACGCATTATCCAAGTCTTGTGACCGTCTAATACTTTCGTTGCGTCTTTGGTCGCGTTGATCTATTTTATTTTTTCATCAAAGCTATCAGAACTCGGTCCATTCGTTTGTAAGAATTTAGTTAATTGAGAAAGGTGAGTTACCTCTGGCAGACCTGAGAATCTGGTTTTCTGCTTGACGCTGTTCAGGGGACCTCGCGACACGAACGCCAAGAGCGCCATGAACAAGACGTTTTGCGACCATATCAGTTGTTGCTGGACGTGCGCGAGGTTGTGCTGGGTTGTGTAAAATTTCTTTCGTGAATAAAAAAAAAATCTTTTTAAATATTGATTAATAATGTAACTTACACTTTTGAAGAAAATCTGTAGGACCGTCATATGGTTTGATGGTGGCAAGTTGATTGCTAACATTGTCTAAATATGCTTTTCGCGCTGTTAATAATTAAATATGTTATTAGATATTTCGATTATTTAATAGTTAAGAAAATGCATAAATGGTAAGCTAACATTAACATCTAACCTGTGGCTGGATGCTCAAAGACAATCAGAGCGCGTGTATCCTCCATCCATTTGATATGATAACCACCACGCATATTTTCGTATTCTTGAAAAATCTCGTGAAGATTATGTGTTTTGAAAGATGCGGGAAAATCAAGCACGTCAAGAATACGAGTTGATCCTTCGAAGGCATCTAAAAATGTGAACAGAAAATCTATTAATAACGAAAAGCATACATACATTGATTCTTAGACCATTAAAGTACCTGGATCAAAATTGAATTCAATTTTGCTACTCTTGTTTTTTTTATGACTCTTTTTGAAGCCCGTCCTATTATTATCATTTTTTTGACCTTCCGCTTTCTGTCTGTTTGCCTGCCAGTCAAATGGGTTTGTGACGACTTCTACAGGACTAATAGGACTAGTAACACTACTCTTGTTTTTCACCTCACCGTCTGCACACTTTTCCCACTCTTCACTGCCTTGCCTCAGATGTTCTCGTGGAGCTGAAGATGGTGTATCATCGGGTTGAGGAACAGGTTTTAATTCACCCTCGTTGTCACCAATATTGATGTTTTCGAGAGAATTGGCAATTTTAGATACGTCATCGGACGCATTATTGTCACTACCAGATCCACCACTCTCAGAACCTTGAAGCCCATTATTATTTTTGGCATCTGACTTTGACTTTCTCCTAGCATGACCGTTATTTGGTGTTTTATCTCCTGCTTTTAGTGGATATTGCCGTAAGGAAGTAGCGTCGAAGTCGCGACCTCTTGGAGTACGAGGGGATTGTTGCTGGTCTTGCTGATTGTCACCACCAGGACCACAAAATTTCCCCCGACCTTTCCTAGTGACCGTATTGTCTTGATTCTCGAGACTATCATTATTGACGTTATCTTTGGAATCCGGAAATGGCTCCTCACCAGTCAGACTACGCCTCTGTTTGGGAACGTAAATTTCACTTCCAGGTCTTCTAAAGAACGTAAAGTTTAAATGCCATCACAAACTTATCCGTGGCACTTGCAAAAATTTCCAAAGTTTATATTTCTTACTTTGACTTGTCAGACCTTGTCGGACTTGCCTCTGGAGAAGTGGTCGTAGAACCCATTATGAATCGAGTGAGTAGAAATTAAAGAAAGTCTACCTGTTGGATGGTGGAGGGGGGGTAACCAAATTTTGGTGAACTTTTTGTTGTTAGAAAGTCGTGGGATATTGAGAGAACTTTCTGAGTACAAATGTCTTCGCTGTCCACTCACATTTCGTAGAATGGGTGACGTGTTTTATCCATTGTTTATTCGGTTTGTGGCATCCAATAATATGCATATTTGATAAAAAAGCAATGCAATGCATCACGACTGGAGATGGTTTTAGCATTAACGCCCAAGTAAAATATGTATTTGTTTTCGCAGAAACAGGTTATTTTAATTTTGTTGTATTTTTCTATATTGACTTGTTCCCCTAATAGAAATCTTGTATTTTATTGATTTCACTTTCTCGTTTTATCATATGAGGTATACAGTATATTACTTTTATTTTACCGATATTTTAATTTTCATTAATACATGCGTATTTGAATTTAATTAATAGCATAAATCAAATTTCTTTTCAAACCTGTCAAATCATATTATACAGTAAATAAAAGTAATTTAATAAAATGGTTAAAGAATAAATCAATCTGTACTAATTTTTATATTTAAAAAAATTTTTTTATAAAAGAAAGTCAAGAATCATACTATCATGGCATAGCTTTGTTGAGACATTAAATGAACATCTACAACATCATATAGGTTTCTTTATTTAAAAGATAACTTGTTATTGTACATTATTAGTTGAAGAACTATACTACTTAAAAAATACAAAGAATTCGCTAAGCTAATTTGAATAATAAACCTTTTTCAATATTTGAAAATTTTATCTATTAAATAATATATGAATTCACTTGTTATATATTTTATATTAATATTACTATATATTGAAAATTTTTATTTAATTAAAATCAAAGTCTTTTCAAAAATTTATTGAAAATAAAGACTTTGATTTTTTTTAAAAAAAACCCATTTATTTTTTAAAATATTAAATAAAAAATAAGAATTAATATTTCATATGATTTTTTACTTGTTTTTAAATATTATAATTGTTTTTTTTTTTGAAAAAAGTTATTTAATTAACAAAAAACATTTTTATAGATTTTATTATTATTATTATTAATATTAATATTATTATTATTATTAAACATATAATTGTAATCAATAAAAGCTTGTTTATATTTTAGAAACTAATATATTTTATATTGATCAATTTATTTGATAAAAATAGATTACTTAAAATTTTAAAGTCAAATTAAGATAAATAAAAAATTGCTAGAAAATATTATATTAATATAATTTAATTTAATTTCTGATTATATAAAAACTTGAAATTTATTATAAGCCATTGTTTATTATAAATAAATATAAAATTATTATTCAAAATAAATTAAAACAAAATATTTTTTTAGAAATAAAAATTTTTAATAAATAATAAATTCTTAAAATAAAATATATAAAAAATTAAAATTAAAAAAAGATAAGGTTCTCAAAAAATTAAAAGAAATTTTATTTTTTATAAATATTATAAATATATTTTTATATTATTATTTTTTTAACTTCTTTATAAAATAATTATATATCTTTTTTTATATCTAATAATTTCTATTTTGTTAATTTTTTTTTCTAATAATTTAATTTCTTTGCTTTTTTAATTAAATTATTTCTAATTAATTTTATATAAAAATTATATATTTATTCAGATTAATTTTAAAAACTTGTTTAATAAATCTAAAAATTACTTGTCTACTTATTTGATTATATATATAATAATTTTATTTATTTATTTATTATTTATTTATTTTTTTTTATGTCTTGAAGTATTTTTATATAATAATTTTTATTTATTTCTTTAATTTTTTTATATTTTTATTTTATAAACTAAATATTTTATTAAATATTTAATGGTATTTTTTGCAATTCAATTTATTTTATTAATTCTTTGATTATACATAAACAAAATATTCACAAGAAGTTATTTATATTTTTATATTAATAAAGTTTTATTACTTTCTTTAAACTAAATTAAAAAACACTTTAAAAATCTATTTTACTTTTCTCTTCTTTTATTAATACTTCTTTTCAAATAAAAACTTGACTTTAGTAACTCAAAAGTCATAAAACTTCTTTTCTATTAACAGTAAAAAAGTTTTAAAAGAAAAAGGAACTGAAGTGCTACCATATATTTACTTATTAGAAAAATACTATAGAGTTTTCTATATAATAAAAGATTATATTATAGACCTGTGGGTCTATAGCACAGTGGTAATGCTCCCAAGTCACAATTACAAGGTTCATAATTCAATACCACATGAGGGTCATGTGAAAGATTTATGGAATGGAAAAATCGTCTATGACACAAAATACAATCAAGTCTCAGAAAATACTGATCATCTCCATTCTGGTTTCATACAAACAGGGTTTTCCTATTTCCAGTTCTAAGCGAGTTTTTCTCCCTATAAAAGGCACAATCAACATAGTTGAACACAAACAAATCTGAGAAAGGTACCAAACTGGCAATAGTGTCATGTCCAGTAAGAATCATTTGAAAGGTGTACTTCTTCTTTTACAGGAACTAGCAAGTCAAGCCTGGTAAGTTAGTTGGAAGGAATCCGGAAAGATTGAAGATTAAAAAATAGGGGTGTCTAGGTTTCCTAGATAGGTAATAGTAAAAATTTAATCCAACTGGATATTTTCAGACAACAAGCCGTCTGGTGAATCTTTTAAAAGTAGTGTTCTAGGAATGTTTGTCAACATGAATGATAAAAATATGTATTCCCTACAATTAAATTTGTAAATTACTTTATCAAGTTAATAAACAAGGTTGAACTTTCCATTCCACAAAAGACTATATTATAACTTCTACTCTTTTATTATCTTTTAACTTTAATAGTACTTTTTTTTAATTTTTTTTAAAAAATTTTGTTTATTTTAATTTGATTTTAAATTTTAAGTAATCCAAAGTTTTTTATATAAGAATTGATTGACTAATAAATATTATATATATTATTAAAAAATATATAAATAAACTTCTATTGATTATTTTATATATTTAAATATATTGTTTTAGTTTTATAAGAATCTAAGATTTATTATAACTTATTTATTTACATGTGCAAGTGGATATAAAATATATTAATTTATTATATACTATAATTAAAAACAAGAAAAAGTTTGTTTAATCATAAAAAAAAAAACATAAGATACTTTAATTAATTTTAGTATTAAATTTATCTACTTTTAGTAATCAAGTAGATTTTCTTAATTTCTATAGATAAACAAAAATAATAAATAAAATAAATAAAAAAATTTTTTTAGTCAATAGATTTTTTAGTTCTAATCTATAGTACTACAAATTGAAAATTCTTATACTTAAAGATAATTTTTTAAAAATATTAACTTGACTTTTTAAAATTTATTTCAATTGATTTTATTTTATCAAAATTTTTTTCAAGTTTTTTTTTTTTGTTTTTTTTTTTAATTTTTTAATTGTTCTTTAAATTTTACTTATTAATATACTTTTTTCAATTTGTTTTTCATTTTTAAAATATAATATATTAATAATTTTTCATATTTGATAATTTTTTGATTTTTTTTTTAAGTTTAACTATCAATTTTTTACTTTTTCTATATCTTTTTTTTTGTTCTTAATGTTTCAAAAATTTTTTTAAACTATATAGTTTAGTGCAAAAGTCTTTGGACTGATATTTTTTATTATAATTTAATAAATAATTATTGAATTTGAATAAAAGTTAATTTTTTTATTATAAGAATATCATGATTATATATTTAAAGTTTTATCAATTATTGATCAATAATTTATTATAAAATATTA